ATCATTAAATTTCATTTTATAACCAATGAATGATATCCTTTACTTTATCGATCCTCTCATTGGTATATCGACAAGAGTGTGGACTATTTTGTATATTTAAATATCGAGAATAACAGTGAGCGCACGACTATTAGACTCCTGGTGGGGATAGAAAACTGTTATAGATATTTTCACACACCTGAGCAGCATTTTTTCAAATAACTTAATAAAATTATCAAATATATAAAAATTTAATTTATTATCCATTAATGAAGACAATTACTGGTATAGTATACCAGGATTAACACAGTCCAAACCACTTATTGATACCTATAATAATAAGATATACCAGGTTTGTATGAACCTATCAAAAGAAAAACATAGAATCATCACAGGAATCCTAACAGGTCACTGTAAACTAAAATACCTAAAATGAGGAGTCGGCCATACATGTACATACGACATATACTCCTGCGAATGTATATTCTTACGGAAGAGGAGATAAAACTCTGTATAATAGGTTCTATACTACTTTTAATTGATGCTACAGGGCTTAGAGAACTACCCCAAATCCAGAAGGGGGCACAATAGACCCGATGGTCGCAGTGCCACATCCCCTAACAATAATAATAAATAACGAAAACAAAAGCTTACCAGATGCAATTAATCGTGCCATAGTTATGGCATTTTAGGGTTTAGTTCTTGATACATACTGTTCAAAAAAAATAAATAGAGAATTGATCTAATAGATTTTACCACATACCAATTATTATTGATGTTTGGCATTATCTTCATTATTATCATTATATTCACTTCATTAAAAATTTAATATTTCTAAATGTGGAAATTTTTTCGCTATTAGATCTATTTCTAGTCGAAACAGATTTCTTGCCGAAGGACAATAAAATTTTATTCATTTCAAAATCAAGTAAAACAGAACAGCAATGAAAACTTTTGATAGGATTGATATTCAGATGTCTGAATTGGTGAATCAGCACCTTTACTCTATTTTATCTGTGGACAGTTTTAAATCAAACTAAACACGGGGCTTTACGGGGCTTTATAATATGATGGATCTGATGTCTTTGTATCTGCCTATGTCTATCAAATTTCGCTGTATTTTTAGGATACTGAGTGTTGGATCATTGTGTCTGTCAATTGTATTGAACAGTTTCAGAGCACGATCTTCAATGTATTTTTCAACTGATAGGATGATGATAGGAGATATTAGATAACGTTGTGTACTATAAATTCTTTTCAAAAAGATCTACAGTTCTATAGTGCATACATAACAATCCAAGTATCAAATGCGTAACAATTTTATAAACTCGCAGTCAAAGGATGTTCACGGAGTCTGTTTATTTCATATGAATTTTTTGTTTATTACAACTCTTGACTTCAAAGAGTCTACTGTTTACATTATGTCATTAAATGTTTACTTGTAGTTTGACACAAGTATAGAATGTCAGATGTAGATTTTGCATTCATCAAAAGTCTTCACAAATTAATTTATTCAATTTAGAATTTATTCAAATTTTATTTTAATTTTTTTTTTTCATATTATTATTTAGTTTTTCGTTGCAGATATCACAACGTTAAAAATATAATAGCTCGCGATATACACGTAATAGTATAAAAGCTTTGGTGTTGGTACATACATAGCGCTTAGACTCTTATCTATAGGAATGCTTGATATATTATAGTTTGCAACTTTGCACTTTGGCAATTTGGCAAGTAGAAATTCAATTTGAACTCTGCATAGACGTTGCAGGTACGGAAAATTTTAAATGTGCATCAAATTAATTTTACTTAAAATTTAAATGAATTTACAGTAGAAAACTTACTAAAGATGAGATGAGACTCCATGCCAGCAGTTTCAAAGTGTATGCTTCGTAAGTTTAGCTCTCGATTATTAAATCAGTGGAAGATATTTGGGTTATGTTAGTCTGAAAGATTATTTTAAAAGGTAAAATTACTTTATACGAGTATTAAGTACTTACTAAGATATCAAGTTTAGAAAAACACATTCGTGTGATTATTTGTGAGATATTAATTTTAAATAAGAAAAATCATTGTTGGTATGGAAATAATTGTGTTACAGCGGATATATTTTTAGCTTAATAAACTTAAAATATGATGTGGTGTGTAGCTTTTGATATTATCTTGTCAAAAACATGTACCTTTAACATCCACATTTTTGATTTCATACCGAAAAGAGTTAGTAATCACTTGATTGTAGTAGTTAGAAATAATAATTTATGCCACATCAATGTTATTTTTTAAAAATATATGTATGTATTATATCTCTAGACTAGCTGATACACCGTACAATGCGTTTTTGTGAATGAAATGGTAAATTCAAAGTTACTAATGAAATTTCATTGCCTCAAGTACTATAATTCAGTTCGTTGATATTTTTAGTAATCGATAAATGCATATCATCCTTAATTATACACAAAATCTATGAGAAACTGGTAATCAGATGACCGTAGCAATTAGAATTGACGATTCGTGTTGCACCACTCACATTTTCATGCAAATATCATCATATAGTGACTTTTCGGTGGTTGCAACGGTCTCTTGATATTCACTCGTTTATTTTCACTGCCTCACTGGCTATAATCCTCGAAGCAGAAATGAGTCTCAGTATTGAAGAAAATTCGATGCCTGCAATCGTCATTCAAACACTATTGATTCAATAGCTAGAACACTAATTGTTCTAGCATCAAATCAGCGTGTGTTCTACTCAATACTGGGACAGCTATCGGCTAAAGTTCTTGTGTTAAATGTATTTTTTTGTAGATGAAAATGAAATTTCAAATGCGGAATTTACCGTAATGTAGGTTCAAAAATTTACACGTCGTATAGTGGATAAACTTCCATTTTCTTCGACGCTTTCACTAGCAGCGGCAATATTTTCGGCAGCGCGTTCATTGCAATGATGTACATATGTTGCAGATACAATTTCCTCAAATTTGTTCACAGTTTTGCTTCTTGTTAGCTCAGACCGGCAATTATGTCAATTATTACCTACTTTTATTGCACTTAATGTACAAACTACAGAAACACAGTTTTTGTAGTAAGTTTTCTCAATTTAAAAGCATTCAGTGGTTATTAGCCGTTCCCTTTTGTAAAATGCCAAACTGTAAGCTAAGCACGTAATGCATAGGGGGACAATTGCGGCAGATATATGCCACTAAAATATTTCTGCCAAATTAAGACCAGAATATGCATATTTTATATTGATATTGATAACTTATATATAAATACGCATAAAATTTTTAATTCTTTTTAATTAAAATTTAAAAAAAAAAGTAAAATATTTTAGAAATAAAAGACAACAACATAAATATGACCATATGACTGACTCTACAATTTCAATATATTAACTAAAATCTTTGTCTTTGTCTTTTCATTGCTAATCGCTCTCTTTCCAATTTTCAAATAGTTTCTTGTCGTCATTAGACGCGTCACTTTTGGCAAGAAAAAATTAACAGAAGTTCTATTCCGTATATATTATATAAATATATATTATGAAATTTATATTCATGATACATACTAGTTGGGTTGATAAATGCCCGACCGAAGTAATAGAAATGCATTTTTTTTTGGAAAAATATATTTTATGCTTCAATATAGTCGCCTTTTAACTAGACACACCGAGTTCAACGTTGTTACAACATTTGGACACCTCTGAAATAATACGATTTATTAAGTCCTCCAAAATGTACCTCAGTTTCACATTCCACTTCATAATTTGATATAAATCTCTTGCCGTGAAGCCATCGTTTTAAGTTTACAACTAGGTAATAGTCACTGGGAACCTAATATAGAAAATACGTTGGATGAAGAAGCAATTCGTACCGTAATTCATTTAATTTTATCGTGGTTTTCATTGGCGTGTGAGCAGGTGCTTTATCTTTCATGAATAAAAATTTTTTCTTCAATATATTTGGCCGTTTTTCCTTAATTTCCTCATTCAAAAGATCCAATAATATCTAATAGTAGTTGATGTTTTTATTTCTTGTTTTTATTGGTCCAAACAGTCTATGAAAATTATTCCACTTGAATCCAAAATATGGAAGCCAAAACTTTTTCAGCCGATTGTTGAGTTCGTGGTCGTTTGGGAGCATTACCCACGGGCTCTATCCATTCTCTAGCTTGTTGTGTTATTTCCCTTAGTTGTGAAATAATGGATCCATATATCATCGATTGTCACTACTCGACAATTGATGCTCATATAGCTAGATTGTACATAAATATTTCCAAACAATGTTTTGAATGACGAAGTCGGTGCCGTTTTTGTTCTTTGGTTTTTGGTGAGCAAACTCGGCACTGAAAGCTTTTTCAAATATTCATGTAAAATATTCGATACACATGTATATGATATGTTTATCATCTCTGGTATTGACTATCACACGCAATGTCGTAGATTTTATCAATGTTTTTTTCAGTTGTAAGCTCTTTTGGACGACCCGGACGCTCTTCATCAAAAACACTTTTTCGACCACTTTTAAATTTAGTTTTCCAATATTTTATTGTTGTTAACGATGGTGTAAGGTTGTCGTAAACAGAATTCATTTCCAATTTGATTGCATCGTTATTCATGGCTTTCGAATGGAGAAATTTTTTTATTGAACGTTATTAAATTTTTTCCCAATAAAATAGGTGCACTATTTCAATAATTTCCAAAAAGGTAACCAAACATCTGATGAAGTCGAAACTTTTACAGCTGTCGTTTAAAACATGTCAGATATATAAAATATAATTGTTTTTGTTCTGACGTTGCCTCCTGTTGTGAAGTCCGGTAATTATCAATCCATCTAGTATATTTGGCATATAGTCGTAACAAAAAAAAATTTTTTTTGAAAACTAAAAAGTTATAAATGAATAAGAATAATTGAAAAAATTAAATTACAAAAAATATTTGCATATTACTTTTTAATTGTTTGCAATTGAAAATGAAAATATGTTTACAAATTTCCTGATAAGCACTTTTATTGATTGTAAAATATTTTTAGGTCACCCTAGGAGGTTTGCCACTTGCCGTAGAAAACATCAACAAAAATCCTGAGCTGTTGCCTGGCAAAAAATTAACTTTCAAAGCTTTTGACATTGGACAAACAATTTCAGCTTATCGTGTCCAAACTATAAGGTAAGAATATTTGTCCCTATAAATTACTCAAAAAATTCAAAATTCATAATAAAAACTGAAAAAATATATTAAGCTAAATACAATGGTACAGGCTCAAGTGTCTGCAAAAGATGTTTGGATCTTTGCAAAATTTGCAAACCGGATATAAAACTTCCTTTAAATGCTTACAAAATATTTTTAAATTATTCATAAAACCACACTCACTTAATTTTTGTTTTTATAAATAAAAATACAAATTTATTATATATATAAAAATATTAAATAACAAATAAATCATATTTGAGGTTTACAGATGAAGTAATACAATTTTCGTGGAACAAAGGATTTATTTACTGAAAAAATGTATCTGTTTTTATTTATATTTTCAAATATTGATAAAGATATTTTTATAAGATACTTTGTTGATTTCCAGCTAGAAGTTTCTTTTGTTTGCACAAATTTTGAATATTTACTGGAATAAGAAAATTGTTTGAGTTATTGTTGTATGATGAGAATCATTCAACTCCATTAGGTTCAACTTTTGTACTTTAAATGTTAATGCTAAAAAAATTATGGAGCTGTAGTAATGTAAATACTCCAAGACATATAATTTTTAAATAGTAATTCTTAAACGCGAAGTCTTGGTAAAAGTCATTTATCTTGGAGTAACGTTACTATTATCTAGCACAGGGCTGTACAGACCAGATGCGATCGCGGGTTAATACAAATCACTAAATAATTTAGAGGGCCACAGAAATAAATGCATACGTTCATAATTTTTTTAAGTGAGCGGCGTTTCCCTTTTCAGCCTCATAAAAATTTTTGAGGGGGACATCAAATTCAAAACAAAAGTGTTGTGATGAATTTACATCGGTTCATGGTATTTTCCGGGTACCTTTCTTACTTCGTCTTTTACCGGAATTATCCTAAGGTTCCGATGGATTTGGATGTTAGTTACATACCAACACTCCATGTTTACCATTTTTACCGCTTTTTTCTCCAAAACGTATAAAAATTGTAGTAATTTGCTCCTAAAAGGCGTAAAATCTGTTATTTATAACTAAACAACACTGCTACGCTGACTCTCATGCCGGAATTTGAACCAACATATTATTTTTTCTCTCAATCTCAAATTTATAATTTGCATTGAAAACAACAATAATTGTACTCATGCCGTGCCCGAGACACTCTTCATACCAGGGCCTTTACTGAGCTTTTAGAAACGCAAAACTATTTTGTGATTTTAGTTACTATTTCCTCAACTGTCCCTTAAGTTTAATAATAATAATGGATGATGGACTGTTACTGAGCACAAAATTATTTTGTAATTTTCTTTTTAAATTAAAGTGCTAGTATATAACAATTTTTTTTATGTTGAGTCCTTCCTAAGTTGTTTGGAATATATGAATAAAATATGTTCTGTAATTTTCTTCTTGAAAAAGTTAATGAGGAGAGTAGAGATTTTGGCCTATCCATGAGTATTAAAAAAACCAAGTACATATTTTTCAGTAAAAAACTGATAATTATTGAACGAGTAGCTAAATTTAAATACCTTGGTTGTGGGTTATTTGAAGAGTGAACATCAGATCAAGAAATCATATTTCGAATAGAGATGACTAAAACCCCTATCCACAAATTTAAAAAAAGTGCTATGCAATAGCAACAACAGCATCAACTTACGTATTCGCTATGTTAAATGCTATGTCTGATCCATTCTACTCTATGGCTTGGAATCTGACTTTAAAAATCGTAATAATGAACAAAATCGAAGCGTTTGATATATGGTGGGTCAGACGTATTGTGAATATTGCTTGGGCGGACAAAGTTTTAAATGAAGAAGTTCTAATAAGATTAAGAAAAGATAGAGAACTTCTAAAAACTATCAAAATAAGAAAAACGAGGTATTTTGATAATATCATTCGAAGTCCAAAATATGAATTGCTACAACTGATTGTGGAAGGCAGACGGTATGGAAAGAAAACAATTATTTTTGTTGAGGAACATCCGACAGCGGACGGGGTTAAGAACGATTGGAGACTTAGTACATACTGCTAGAGACAGAGAGAACTTAAAAACCATTATTTCTAACATATTGTAATTTATATAATTGTATAACATTCAATTTTTGAATAAACAATTAAAGAAGAAGACTGGCACACATAACAAAATTTAATGTTCAACTTTGAAAGCGCATTGATTCTTAAAAGCAGATATCTATGTTATATGTGCAAATTTCAAAACAATTAGTAATTCCCTCATAAATATTGTCGTATACTTCTTTCAACCGACTAAACTGTTTTTAATTAAATTCTCAATTTAAGTTTAAGAAGCATACAACCTTCACAAATCAAGATAAAAAAAATTTCGTTTTATTGATTACAATTTGAAAGGTATCAGTACGTTGTCGATGTGGATACATCGTTCCATAATTTGTTGCAGACTTCGGATTTTATTCAAATGGATTTTAACAAAATCTTTCAATGTTGAGTTCACAAATTCTAAACAGAAGTGAAATACAGCACTTTTGGTTAAATGAATTATTTTCATAAAATATCCATTTTGACTGTTAACTAAAGTACCAGTAAGAATTTCTTCTGCTGACTGTGAAGTACATACCATATATGAAGTTGTGAATTGCTTTTGACGTTGTTTACAAAACAATAAAAAAAATAAAAATAGATGCAATACAAATGTGGAGGATTAATAGTTTACGACTTCTGAAATCTCTTTCGATTTCTAAGTGCTCTACTAGCACTTGAAAAATTAGTAACGTAAAAAAAATATATTATAGTTGAATGTATATAGAAGCAGTAGTAGACTTTCAACTTATTTTCTTTTTTGAAAATACTTTTTTTGAAGTACTTGGATTCGTACATGTCATATTATGCATATACAAAAGACCATTTTAGCCTACATACTCATATTTTATCGTTTTTTTCTTAAAAAAAGGTAAAAATGTGTTTAAAAGTATACAAAATAAAAAAAAAACAATTTAAGATGGTTGTGCTTTGGTTGTGCTGAAACTTTGATACCCTTAACACAAAATTTTAAATCTATATTAAGTTCTTATGTTTATATGATATATATATAATATACAATGAAATACATACATTGAAAAATGAAAAAGTTATTTTAACAGAGTAACACTCTGGCAACTATCTTTCAGTTCACCACACTCAAAAATCTCGCGGAAGATTGTGTGAAAAATCTTTCATATTCTGGCAAACATCTTTCAGTTCACCACACTTAAAAATTTTGCGGAAGATTGTGTGAAAAATCTTTCACATTCTGGCAACCATCTTTCAGTTCACCACACTCCAAAATCTTGCGGAAGATTGTATGAAAGATTATTCGTATTCAGGCAGCAGTCTTGTGCAAGACTGAAAACTCTGAAAACAATAAATTTTGCATTCCTTAATTCCTCAAAGTTGCTTAAAGCATCAATACCATTGTGGTTTTTTCGGTATCGATGCTACCATAAACTGCTAGAACCAGCTAAAATCTTACAACCGGTCTTCCGGTCGATCCTACAAAGATCTTACGAAAGACTTTTAAAGATCTTTGCCAGATTTGCCCTGTAAGAAAAATATATACCAAAATTGTTCGTTTATTTGCGAGCTATATATAGATCTAAATTGATCAATCTTATTTTATTACACTGGTTACGTACTCAAATTATGCTCAAGTTCCATATTTAAAGTACATATCAAAAAAAAAAAAGAATTTCTTTCTGACAGATTCAAACTACTGTCTAAATCGGCAGAAGTGACAGTTATATGTAAGTCTTAACCGATATTAACAAAATTCTGTATATTGTGTTCTATAAATATAAGTACATTTGACAAATTGAAGATTTGTTGTTGTTAAATCCAAAAAAATTAAATAAAATAATTTTCATTTGGAGCACTGATTCGCGAATCGGTAGAAATTTATACGCGTCTCTTCCATCCTCATGCATATATGCCAATCATTCTTGCTTTCTTCTTCCTCTTAATTTTTTCTTTTTATATTCTCAATCTCAATCTCAAACTATTGACTAGAAGATTGAATAATAATCGTGTGTTATTGTGCCTGCCTGCTTATTGGCAATTTTCTGATAAAATAATTAAACCAAATAATGTGAACTATTAATTGGTTTTTACGTAAATTCAACTGGATTAAGTGAAGGAATGCATGAACTATTCTAAACAAATAAACTATTCTATACAAATAACTTTTCAAATATAAGCCGGTTGCACTATAATTAGTATAATTAATATTAAATTTTTGTATCAACACCGGCAAGCAATTGTAAAATAACTTTGTATTTATATAAGCTACTTTGAATGGTTTAATTAAATTTTATACAAATCGATTGAGATTCAAATAAGAGCTCCACATGTATAAATAATAGATTTATTTTAACAATATATTTATGTAAGCTTTGAAAACATATAACTTGATATGTAAGTAAGTGCTGCCAAATACATATTAAATATCAGTATAATTGATAAGGGTTTATATATTTGTTTTCAATTAGATTTGTCAAACCAAAATTAAAATATTAAATTGAAATAATTATTTTCTCAGAATTTATTTAAGCACCAAACATTTGTGACTTAAAATTGTATATTCGTATATAAAATTGTGCTTATTACTTCATTATTACGAAATATGTAAACGTACTTGATCTCCCGTAAAAATAAGTTAACATGTCTTTTGTTTTTCAAGTATAAGATACATTATTATTCAACAAAATAACAGCATTTTGTTCTATTTTAAATACTTTCGTGGAATAAAATATCGCAATTCTTTTTCAGTTAAAAACTCTATACTCTTATACTCGTAAAAATATGAAGGACAGCATCTAGTTCTATTTTAAATACTTTCGTGGAATAAAATACCGCAATTCTTTTTCAGTTAAAAACTTTATACTCTTGTACTCGTAAAAATATGAAGGACTTTTAACAAAAGTTTCATGACACGCAGAATTGAATAAATCCGTAATTTTTAAAAAACAACTTAGAGTTGTCTCTAACTCT